CCCCCCCCCCCCCCCAGTAACTCACGAGATACTGTCCTTGCTGCAATCACACGAGGTTTAATTGACAAGATGGGAGCCAGTGCACTGGGGCTGAGCTTTATATATTTTTTAAAATGCTGAAGGTCTCTGGTGGCAGTTGGCAGCAGAAATGCTGTAGGTCCCAAATGGTGGTAGCAGGCCATGTGGCGGCAGGCAGCAGACCCTGGGAGCAGCCAGTCCCAGGCAGAGATGGCTGCCAGTCTCAGAGTGGTGGCCTGAGTGGTGGTGGCAGGCCATGTGGTGGGAGGCAGCGGGGCCCTGGGAGCAGCCAGTCCCAGGCAGAAATGGCTGCCGGTCCCGAGCAGTGGCTGGTCCCAGGCAGGGAGACACGTGGCTGGAGTGCAGGAGACAGAGGCATGGATAGGCACTCCATGCAGAGTGAGGTTGAATATTTATTCAGTAGGTTATGGAGGAGGAAGGGTGAAGGGGGGGGGACAGAGAGAGAAAGAGAGAGAGAGAGAGAAGGAGAAAGAGACAGAGAAGGGGGAAGCAGAGAAGTGGGGAGAGAGGCAGAAGCGAAGCTGCCTCTCCGAGAGGAAGATGGGAAAGAGAGAGAGAGCTCAGGCCTGAAGCTGAAGATCAGCCTGCCTCAGCGGATGGGGGAGGGAGTGGGCGTGGTTTGTCTCTTAAAGAGACAGAAAACCATAACACCTAGACTCATAACCCATGCAGGGGAAGAGTTCGACCCTGAGTAACTGGGAGAAGAAGGGAAGAAACCACAGCCCAGTAACCCAAAGAGGTAGGGAGGGCATCATAGAAAATTCCAAAAATACCAGTGATGGTCACAAGGGGACAACTCCCTGTTTCTCAAGATTATAATCAGCTAGTTCCTGAAACAGAGTATTCCAAAAATACCAATGATAATCACAAGGAGGAAACTCCCTGTTTCTCAAGATTATAATCTAACTTTATATTCAGCTACTTCCTGAAACACAGTCACTGAACCGGCTAATCCTAGATTTCTGATTCTTTTTTTCCCTGCTTAGATTTTTGGCTCTATTTTTTTCCTGCTAGGGGGGGTCTGGATTTATGCAGGTCTTTCAGTACCACTCAGTGAGCACAGTGTTAGGGGAGAACCTGAGAAAGGCAGTCGCCGAGAGGCACTCGGCCGAAAGGGAACAGTATCCCGAAAAGGTAGATCCAAAAGCACCGCTTGTGGCTGCAGTGCTAGGGCAGAGGTGATCTTACCAATTGTCCCGGCAGGCTGATGGAAAGTTGGGAATTGGGCTGGTAGAATGTCCAGGTTTAGGATTTTCGCCCACAGTGCAGCAGTGGCAGAAACAGGGCTCCATGAAGAGAAGAGAGACAGATTCCACCACTGTGTGGGCTGGGGGCAGTGGGACGGGCTGCCTGTTAAACCACCAAGCCGGGAGCTGGGCCCGAGTCAGGGAGATGGAGCAGGGCATGGCAGCAGCGCAACAGTTTGGGTTTGATGGGTGTGATTACGTGCCTGGATCAAAGAGCAGACAGAAAAACGTAGAAAAGGAGGCTGCATTTCCAACTAATAATCACTGGCAGAAAGTAAGCTGATAATAGGCAGCTATGTAGCTTGATATCTGAGGGCGTGGGGGAGTTGGCCGCAGTCTCCATGAGTAAGGCAAGAAGATTCAGAGACAACTCCAGCATCCCAGAACTTCAGCATGGACTGTGGCTCAACCTGAACTTTGGTTATCACTCAAAGTCCAGGGGCCGTGAGAACAGGTAGGCACAAACTGAACCCCTATGTCATCATGTGGAGTTGGAGGCCCAAGCAAGGGACTTTAAGCTCAACGGGCAAGTGGTTGACTAGTACTGGGCCAGTTTTACATTTTATGATTGCATACTCAAGGAGGCATGGCCAGATGTGTGGGAGGAACCTACCATTTACCTTGGGTGCAGAATTCCAGTGATTTTAAGTTGGAAAAGTGACCATAAGAGTTAGAAGAGTTATAGGATTCCTATCAGTCCTCAGCTGCAAGGGTAGCCTGCTGAGTCCACGGCACCAATGTTATCATTCATAACACTGGGTAACCCAGTCCCATGAGAGGCAGCGGCAGGTAACCTGAGGTCTCAGTGGGTCCCCTGGTGGGTGGCCTGAGGCCTCCGCAGGATAGAGAGAGATACATAGATACACAATACAGAGAGAGCTGGAATATAGAACTTATTTTAGAGGGCTATGGAGGGAGAAAGGAAAGGGAAAAGGGGGAGGGGAAGAGGGGGAAGAAGAAGAGAGGCAGAAGCTGTCTCTCCAGAAGAAAGGCAGATGGGGGGGTGAGGGGAGAAGGAGAGGTAGTAGTTACCTCTTTAGAAGAGGGACAGACAGAGGCTGGAGAGGAGGTGGGAGATTCACTTGCCTTGGTGGAAGGAGGAGGTTGGGAGTGGGTGGGGATTGTCTCTTAAAGTGACAGGGTACCTAGGTGACAGACCAGGCCAGCATATTACAGCAACCATCATCTGTAATGAGATCTGGCGCCCTCTTCTAGGGTGCAGGCACACTTGCAAACAGAACACTGTATACATGATAAAAAAATAAATCTTAAAACTTTTTTTTTTTTTGGTTTTTCGAGACAGGGTTTCTCTGTGGTTTTGGAGCCTGTCCTGGAACTAGCTCTTGTAGACCAGGCTGGTCTCGAACTCACAGAGATCAGCCTGCCTCTGCCTCCCGAGTGCTGGGATTAAAGGCGTGAGCCACCACCGCCTGGCTTAAAATTTTTCTTAAAAATGCTATTCATTTATTGTGTCTTGTGCCTGCATGCATGTGTGCTAGCGACCACACACATGTGGGAGTTGATGCTCTTCTGTTCTACTATGAGGGTCCTGGAGATTGAACTCGGTCCTCTATCTTAATGCTGAGCCCCATCTTTTCTTTTAAAAGACAGGGTCTCCAGTAACATATGCTGGCCTTGAACTCATTGTTCAGGTGGGGAATGACCTTGGCCTTTCTGTTCTTTCTGCCTTTACCTCCTCTGCACTGGGACTGCAGGCCTGCACCACCAAGCCTCCCTAATGTGGTTACATGAGTCCTACTGCCTGAGCTAGACCTCCCACCCACTCTTTAGAGCCTTTCTATCCACACTCCCTGGAGCAAGAACATGGCTTCAACAACCTTGGTGGTAGAGAGAGGGAGGTGGCATATTAGTTCAGTGCTTAGAAAAACATTCTTAGTTTTTACTTAATCCCCATGAATATAATTAGTTTCTGTTTCTTTGGGGTTGAAATTGTGCTGTCAGATTAGCCCAGCTGGTGGGTGCTAATCCTCAAAGCTGTTACTAAATACTGCTAATATTTAATAAACTAATAACAGCACCAAAACTAGGAGCCAGATTGCCTTCATTTTCAGCAGGCCAATTAGAGGCTGTTGATAATTGCCGGGAAGAAAGATTGGCTGATTTCCAATTAACAGACCAGACAAACAGTGTTTATTGCAAGTTTTGTTTGTTCACAATGAACGTATGCTTCTATAATTCAATTCTAACTAAATAGGTGGGAGCATGTAACTTCTAAAGCTTCCTGGACCAATATGTGCACACTTGTTACTAAGCGGTTTGTTTGTTTTCATGAAGCATTGTGTTTTGCCTCCACTAACTGGACTCTCACAGTTGAGATGTTTCGGGTTAGATACAAAAAACTCCTATCGGGCTGGGAGAGGGAGCGCTTGTCCTCCACGTACAAGGCTTTGGTTTTCTCTCCAGCACCACAGGAATGAAATGTGGAGGCTCTCCTCTAATGCCAAAATCCGGGGGTGTGTTACAGGGAGCCCACCAGAGATGACCCCTCAGACACAGCCAATTGAAAGTCTTTATTTCAGCTTGGCAGTGGTGGCACATGCCTTTAATGCCAGAACCAGGTAGGTATCTGAGGTTGAGGCAGTCTGATCTACAGAGCAAGTTCCAGGACAGCCAAGGATATACAAATGTATCTCAAAAAAACAAAAAAAAATTAATTTGATTATTTTTGAGACGTTACTACATCTACATTATTTCCACTACCTCTTTCCCTTCCAAACTTCTCTCATTTTCTCCTCCCCAAACTCATGGTCTTACTGGGGCATGGTGGCTGGCCTGTATCTATCTTTACTCCCAGCACTCAGGAGGTAGAAGCAGGCAGATCTCTGTGAGTTGGAGGTCAGCCTGGTCTATATAACTGGTTTTAGGCCTGTCAAGGTTAAATAGTGAGACTGTCTTAAAAAAAAAAAACCCACAAACCCAAATTTATAATGTGTTCTCTAATTATTATTCCTATATGATACACACATATATGCACACATGTAACATACTGAGTTTATGTAGCTTTGCTGGTATGAACTTGTGTCTCAGGTTGACCACCTGGGACTTGACATTCTGTGCAGAAGTTGTCCCCTCTCAGCAATCACTGACTATTTGTATTTATTTATTTATTTATTTATTTATTTATTATGTATACAACATTCTGCCTCCATGTATGCTCACACGCCAGAAGAGGATGCCAGATCTCATTACAGATGGTTGTGAGCCACCATGTGGTTGCTGGGAATTGAACTCAGGACCTCTGGAAGAGCAGCCGGTGCTCTTAACCATTGAGCCATCTCCAGCCCCATTTGTAGTTCTTTATCATCGAGTGGGATTACGTAGAACTCGATCCACTTCGGTACACTGACTGCTGTTGTCGTTATGCTGATTTTCTACAGGCAACCATATTGTTGAGATTTCACCCCTCTTCTGTGATTCTCCCTGAGCTTTAGGTGTAGGGATTGCACTGCAGATATATTAGTTGGACTTGGGCACCCATAGTTCCTTATTTTCTGCATTTTGTCCCAGTTAGGAATTTTAGCAACAGTCTTTATCTGTTGTGAAATAAAAGCTTTCTTTTAAAAATTATTATTAATTTATATTTAAGTGATGATGGAAGTCACAAAACAATCCCACACCAGTTCAGAATTATGAATAATAAAGTGTTATTTATTTAAGGGAAAAACTTACAGATGACTGTTCTAGATCACAGTTCTCTGTGCACACAGGAACAGATTCTAGCAGCCAGAAGTGGGAGCCGGAACAAAGATAGTGGGTGCATATTTACAGCTGCTTTTACAGTATAAGAGAGCACACCCAAGTGGGCTGGTATCTCAAAAGCTATTGGCTGAAGGAGCAGAATGTGCTCCCATAGCACCTCCCCCTTTTGTTTAAATAAGAGAGTTCCAAACCCAATACAAAACTATATACACTAGGAACAGATATCAAGTATAATTAGAATTACAATCAGCATAAACAATAAAGAGCAAGGAACACATGCTAAATGTTTTAATAAACATTCTGTCCTATGGAGTCTAAGTCTTGTATAGGAAATGGCTTGGCTAGATCATTAGAGTACAGTAACTACGACTATCTAATCTTCAACCCCATTGAAGGCCTGAGAAGGGAGATAATATTACTTGAGCAGGCAGGAGGTACAATCAAGCAGCTTCCAAAGTGAGCAATATATTTTGGAGACAATTAGTTACCTGAGCAATCACCCAAAGTCTCATTTTGTAATGTTGAAGCAACCAACTTTGGCTATGGCCTAGCATAACTGACAGACCATTTTCAGAGGCAGGAAACTTTTCAGAACCATCTTACCCTGTCTTGGCAGGATTTAACAGTCTTTTTCCTTGTGTGCTGCTTATTCATTTCTGGATGCCATGTACTTGTCAGTGGTTGAGGTATGGGCAGTTGCTTGCCCAATTGTGCCAAGAAGAAAACAAACTCCAAGTGGAGTGTCTTTGGTGCTCAACATTCTCTCAGGAATAGAATCAAGTGTCATGTCAACAGAACCCTAAGTTATTTAAATGCCATGTTCTACAGATCCTTATAGTGTTTGAAGATTACCTATCTAGACAGAATATAATCTCTGTGTATCTAAAGAACTGTTGTAGGAGCTGTGGGTTGCATTCCTGCCACCTCCACTTCCGGCCGCCTGCTAGCTTATGCCCAGAAATAATTACACGGACACTGTATTCTTTTAAACACTGTTTACATATTGACCTAACCCATTTCTAATATTCTATGAAGCACCACTAGGTGCGCTTACCGGGAAAGATTCAGCATGTCTGACCTGGCAGCTTGCTTCATTGCGTCTGGCCCAGAGAGGGGAAGCATAGCATCTGAGCTCACTTCCTCTTCTCCCAGCATTCTGTTTTGTTTACTCCTCCCACCTATGTTTTAACCTATGAGGGCCAAGCAGTTTCTTTATTATAATTAACCGATGACCTTCCTCCATCAAAGAACCTAATTGATCTGACTGTATGTACAACAAACATGAGCAACTATTGACCTATAATATTTAATACATGTATAACGTAAAGACTAAAACTTCATGTCAGAATATTAAATAATCTGTTAAAAATGTGCAACAAATAAGGAAATGACCTCAAAATGTAAATAATGTATGAATATCTTGATCAGAGGTAGGAGTAATATATAATGCAATATGAAAATATATTCTAAAAGTTGTATCAATATACAAAATGTCCTAAACAGAAGTAGAAACATGCATATATGCAATCTGACAGAATAACTTTGCATAGGTATACAAATAATGTAAACAAAAATAACAAATATAATTTGAACTTGTATCAGTATACAAAAACTATACCAATGTAAATTATCCATGAATAATAGCTCACAAATATTCACTCTATTACCCACTATTATTATTCCTTTTTTTTTTTTTGTACAAACAGTTTTCACCCCAACCCTCTATTTAGTACAAATAATAATAAACAACCCCTAAACACTGTTCCCAACCCTAAGGACAAACTTTTTTGGGATAGGTGACATTGTCCTCTAGAATTGCTTCCCGCTGTCATGGCGGCATGTTTGCAGGATGGGATCCTGCAAAAGTAAAGTGATGGTTACGTTTCAAAATTACTGTCTGGTATAGTTGCAAACAATTTCCAAGCAGTTGATAGGATTTTCTCCAAAGTTCTTATTTGGAGTTATGGCCAGAACGTCATGAGAAAGTGCGCCATTTCAGCAGCTGGTACCCAAAAAAGCGGTCTTATAGTAGCGCTGTCTGAGTCATGATGTCATCTCATCTAGGTGGATTTGTTGCTGTGGGGCCCCATCTTCTTCCTGGAAACTTCAAAGATTACTGCAGGAAATGGATTTGTAGGAAATTCTATTGTTCATTGTGGAAAACTTAAATATCATTCATATATACATGCATTCAATGAAGAATATGATATAGACAAAATAGGCATGAAGAAAGTAAAATTTTCCCTAAAGTCTTCCTTCTGTCCCATACCAGATGGCTCCTGATATGAGACAGAACCTCTAAATGTTCCTTTTAACAGCATGCTTGGATTTAGAGAAGTACAGAGCCATTGTCCAACTCCCAAACCAGCTGAATATATTAATATATATGTACACACACATACACACACACACACACACATATTCAGCAAGTTCCAGGAGAGCCAGAACTACACAGAGAAATTGTCTCAGAAAACAAAACAAAACAAACAAACAAATGGTAGTAGTGGCGATTCCCTGTGATCCCAGCACCTGGGAGGCAGAGGCAGGAGGGTAAGGAGCTTAGACATTCCCCACTACCTATTCCAGTGTGGGCTACAGGATACTCTGACTGAAAAATAAAACAGCAAAAAAGAAAGCCCCAGTGATGAGCATTGCCAAGAGCGGGGCACTAGGTTTCCTGGCATTTCCCCATGAGGACTCTGCCTCTGGATGTGGGGCCATCAGTTTCACTTCCTGACTGCCGACTACAGCCCAGACAGCTTTAGTCTCCAGCTGCCTCCTCTACAGACAAACATAAACAGGGTCTGCTCCCCCACCCCGCCCCACCCCGCCCCACGCTGGCCTTCTGAGAGAGAGAGAGAGAGAGAGAGAGAGAGAGAGAGAGAGAGAGAGAGAGAGAGAGAGAGCTGCGGTAACGGCCCAAACCTGTCAGCCTTCCTCTTTGCTGATGTCCAGACAGGGTTTCTGCGTCTTGGCACAGTGAGCAGGAACAGTGCCCTCCTGAGCTTCTGGCAGAGATCAGCAAACTCATTGTTCCTGTGGTTGAGCAGAGTGAAGGCTCAAGTTTTCCCCAGAGGGAAATTCTAGCCTTAGGGCTTGTGGCTCACAGAGGCACAGCTGATTGCACTTGTGGACAGGAGGATCAACACACAACCATGTCATAAAGGTCACAGGGTCCTGTATAAAAAGGATGTTTAGTGTAGTCAAAAGTGTTGGATGAAAGCATTTTGTGATGATTCAATGATGACTTGTTTTTGACTTAAAAAATTATTTTGTTTTTTTAATCTTTGTTTATGAATGTTGTTAGGAATATTTCGTAACACAAGTCTCTCTGCTGATGTGAATAATCCCGATCAGATTAAATAAACCCAAATTAAAAGAGATCCAGGTTTAATTAGATGTCTGCGCTCTCAGTTGGCCCCTGAGAAAGCAGTGGTCTAGACCAGGAGAGGAAGAGGGAAAACCACGTGTTTATTTTCTGGGGAGCAGTTTCAATAGCCTGTGGGAGTGGTCTTGACCTTTCCTGGGGAGGGGTCAAGGTTCAACGGGCACAAAGGAGGGGCCTCTAAAGATGGAGGTTGGGATTACAGATGTTTTGCTTGTTTGTAAGTGTGTGGAACACGTGTGCCTGGTGCTCTTGGAGCAGAAGAAAGCATCAGATCTCTTGGAACTGTTAAGGGTTTTTGTAGGTGCTGGGAGCTGAACTTGGGTCCTCTACAAGAGCAACCAGTATTATTCTTTTTTTTTTTTTTCTTTTTCTTAAAACAGAGCTTCTCTGTGTAGCCCTGGCTGTTGTCCTGGAAATTGCTCTGTCGACCAGGCTGTCCTTGAACTCACAAAGATCCACCTGCCTTTGCCTCCCAAGTGCTGGAATTTAAGGTGCCGATCACCTTGCTTGGCTGGCTGTTTGGAGACAAGGTGTCATTACGTAGCTCAGAATGACTTCTAACTTCTCCAGAGTGCCAAGGTGCTGAAATTATAGGCACATCCACTTAGTATTCCTTATTTTTGTTTGTTCCTATTCTTTTGTTTTGTTTTTTGAGACTGGGTTTCTCTGTAGACCAAGCTGGCCTCAAACTCAAAGGTCTGCTTGCCTCGTGTTTGAATTAAACATGTGCGCCGCCACAATCTGGATCTTAATATTTAATTTTTGACATAACATTTTGTGAGTTTGTATGTGTGCAGGTCAGGTGCACGTGTGTGGAGGTGACTGACAAGCTCAGGTGAGTGCTCTGACGCTGGGCATGGTGGCGCATGCCTTCAGTCCCAGCACTCAGGCAGACACGGGCAGATCTTTGCGTTCAAGGCTAGCCTGCTCTACACAGTTAGGCTCGACTCCGCCACCACCCGGCACAAGGCAAGTTCTTTACCTGCTGACCCGACCCTCTCAGTCCAGCTTTGTTTTTGGCATTAAAAGAAGACACTTGATTTTTATCACCAGGAGGCTGCTGTGGGGCATGGTGGGCATGGTGGGTAGAGTGCTGGTGTGGGCCACATGAGGAAGTAATGACTAGGAGGTCGGAGAGGAAAGGGGAGGATTAGATTCGCTCCTGCAACACTTGATGGAAGAGATGGTGGCAATGCATGGACAAATGACCAATAAGATTAAGACATTCTTGGAAACCTAGCTGCTTGTCACTCTTCAAGTCCAGCTTCTTCATAACGTGGTCAAGGACACAGACAGGTGGTGGTGGTGCATGCCTTTAATCCTAGCACTTGGGAGGCAGAGGCAGGCGGAGCTCTGTAAGTTTGAGACTAGTACGGTCTACAGAGTCAGTTCCAGAGCAGCCTGGGCTACATGGAGAAACCGTGTCTCCAAAAACCATTTCCTCTACCCTGTCAGCCATCATGCTGGCCTTCAGAACACTGCGCTGAATAATACTGTTATAGTCTAAAAAACTATAGGAGTGAATGGGTGGAGCCCCCCCCCCCCAAAACAGGGTTTCTCTGTATAGTTTTGGTGCCTGTTTTAGAACTAGCTCTTGTACACTAGGCTGGGAGCTTGTCTCCTAAAGGGGGATATATCACGTGCACACAGACTATATAGTGACGTAGCAACCATAGGACTCTGAGCTGGTCAGAGTACTGCCTGCATACTGGGCCTGCATGCAGGGGTGTGCACTCTGCCAGGTCTCCAGGGGTGGGCCAGGTGCCTGAATGCTAGTATTTCTTCCGTTTGGTTTATTAAAAAGGTGAGGAGTTAGGGGTGTCAGGTAAGGGGAATGAGGGCACCAAATTCTTGAGACTGTTTCTTGGTCATCTGGGGGTGTTGGAATCTTGGAGGACCTTAGAAAACTGGGGAGCTGGCCACATCCTGCAGTAGTGCCCCGCCACTGTCCAGGCTCTGTGGAGCCTCTGGTGCCTTTTGTACCTGGAGAGATGCTGTTCGGAGTGAATCCAAGTGGACTTCCTGGAGCTTACTAGGGTTCTTTGAGTTTGTGAAGAGATAAGGTTTAGACACACTAGCAGATGCCAGATATCTTCTCTGTAGTAATTGTGGTAGATAGGATTCCCCTCTTAGCCCATCAGTGTACTGACCCACAGTGGCAGATTTGGTGTGTGATCAGCTACACGTGCATCCCCGAGTCAAGATGGTTATGACTGAACTGGTTTTCTCAGAAGGTATTGTGGAAGCTCGAACCCTGTTACCTGTGTTTGGAAACAGAGTCTTTTTAGATAATGTCAGTTAAGATGAAGCCTTTAGGATGGGCTCTAATCTAGTATGAGATGGAAACACATGAGAAGGCCTGGGCTGTATAGGTCAGTGGCAGAGTTCTGGCCTGGCGTGTGCTAGATCTGTGATTGACCCCAATACTATAAAGACCAAACGAAACGTAACTGTGAAAGAAAAACATGCCATGTGAGAACTGATGAACCCAAGGGAAGAGCAAGTGACAACAGAGGCCCTAAGAGGCAGATGTAACGGCTGACAGGAAGATACTAGAAGGCAGATCTAGAGGGATGTGATGCAGGATCCCCAGGGGTTGTCTGTAGCTAAGGTTCAACTTATAAATTAGATACAGAGATGAGCAGTAGCTGATGTGTGGTAATAGAAGTCTTGTGAGTACTGTGTGCTCATTCTGTACTTTATCTTGTCACTTAGAGAACATGTTATGGCACCTCTGTCACAGCTATTGTGATGTCCAGTCAAACTGGGAAGGTTACCAAGTAACTAATGGGCAGGTAGTGTACACATCACAAATACACTGTATTGGGCAAGAACAGGATAATATCTCATGAATCTTAACAAGATGGCATGTAATTTAGAACTTGCTACTTGCTTCTGGAATTTCCACTTAATATTTTCCACAATTGACCATGAGCAACTGACACAGAAAGTGAAACCATGTGATAAGGAGGGACTACTTGCTATATTTATATTTAAAATGGGTACATGTGTATGTGTGCATGCATGTGCGTGCATATGCGTGTGTGTGTGCATGTATGTGTCAACTTGCAGAAGTTGGTTCTCTCCTTACAGCATTTTAATTCTGGGGACTGAACTCAACTTCTCAGGCCTGGCAGCTGAGTCATCTTTCCAGCCCTGTTAAAACCTCTTAGGTTTAGTTAGTGAATATTGTATTTAGGATTTTAGCTAAATTTCATAAGAAAAATAGGCTTCTTCTTCTTTTTTTCTTATCTCCTTTTGGAATAAAGAACATACACATTTTGTGTCCTATGGATAGCTTTAGAATTTACTTGCAAAGTCATCTCTCTTTGCTTTTTTTATTAAGGGAGGTTTGGGTACTTTTCTGTGTCTTTAAATGTAATGTACTGAATTTATTTTAAAACAGGGTTTCATGTACTCAGGATGGCCTCAAACTGAGGATGATCTTGAATTTCTGAACTTCCTACTTTTACATCCGTCTGTGTAGCCAGGCCTGCTTTGTGCAGGACAAAGGAGCTGACCCATGATTTCATGGGGCACTGGGCAGATGCTACCAACTGAGGTACACACCCAGGCCTTTAATTTTTTTTAACTGTTTATCTGAAAAAATTTATTTGGGATTAAGTGTGGTGGTGGCATACTTCATTAGTCTCAGCAGTTGTTAGGCAGAGGCAGGTGGATTTCTATGAGTTTGAGTCCAGCCTGGAGTACATCTCAAGTTTCACATCAGCCAGGGCTACATAGTGAGACCCTGCCTTTTTTTTCCTGTTTGTTTGTTTTTGCTTTCTTTTGTTTTGGTTTTTTGTTGTTGTTTTCGAGACAGGGTTTTTCTGTAGCTTTGAAGCCTGTCCTGGAACTAGCTCTGTAGCCCAGGCTGGCCTTGAACTCATAGAGATCCACCTGCCTCTGCCTCCCAATGTGGGAATTAGAGGCATGCGCCACCATCACCCGGCAAGACTCTGTCTTTAGGAATCAAAATGAAGACACATATTCAGCCGTTTTGAGATACAGCCTTGCAGAGTAGTCCACCGTAGTCTTTCACAAAATTCATATATTTGTCATGTGCGTGTGCACCCACACACGTGTGAGTATGGCATGCAGCTGTCATAGCATGCGCTTGTTGGTTCCTGGCTGCTCAGCCCTGGAATAATCTCACAGAAACTATATTATTTAAATCACTGCTTGGCCCATTAGCTCTAGATTCTTATTGGCTAACTCTTACATATTAATTTAACCCATTTCTATTAATCTGTGTATCGCCACATGGCTGTGGCTTACCATCTAAAGTTCCAATGTCTGTCTCTGGTGGGGCTACATGGCTTATCTTTGACTCTGCCCTTCTTTCTCCCAGCATTCAGTTTAGTTTTCCACACCTAGCTAAGTTCTGCCCCCTATAGGTCCAAAGCAGTCCTTTATTAGCCAATGGTATTCACAGCATACAGAGGGGAATCCCACATCACCAAAGTCCAAATTCCTCCAAATGAAAAAGAGGTCAGGCTCAATACAGCAATACCCTAGTCCCTGGTACCAACTTCTGTCTTTTGCTTTTTGCGTTTTGTTTTTTCAAGATAGGGTTTGTGTGTGTGTGTGTGTGTGTGTGTGTGTGTGTGTGTGTAGTCCTGACTGTCTTAGAATTTGAACTGTAGATCAGGCTGACCATGAACACACAGAGATCCACCTGCCTCTGCCTCCTGAGTGTTGGGATTAAAGGTGTGCACTACCACCACCTAGCCCAACTTCTGTCTTAGTGAGGATTTCTATTGTTGTAAAACACCATGACCATGGTGATTCTTATAAAGGAAAACATTTAACTGAGGTGGCAGCTTACAGTTTTAGAGGTTTAGTCCATTGCCATGCTATGGAAGCATGGCAGAAAG